AGGCAACAGTTGCTAGCAAGAAACAGGGAGATGAAGCAGATAGTGCCAGTAATCAGCGAAGCGAAGCCCCTGGAAGAGGCGTGCAAAAATACTTTCTCGGAGCGGCAGGCGGAAAAGAGCAGGCTAGCTATGGCGAGATTGGGGAGTAACGCAAGGAGAAGCAGCAGACCGAGACAAGCGCCAAGCGCAGGCGTGAAAGAGCAAAGGCAGGGCATGGCGGATTCGGCGGGACATGACGCATCGGACTGCATGGCGCTAAGTTGAGGTGTGGACAGGGAAGAACCGAGGGGGCCTTCATGCCAGGAGTGTTACCACTTCCTCTACTTCCCACTGCTCTTCCTCCTGGTCCCAATCAGCGAAAAAATCCATGTCGCCTATCGCCACGCCAAGCTCCTGCAGAAACCGGAACGCCCTGTGCCTAACTTGTCGTCAGAACAGGTTATTGCACGGAGGACCGACGAATAGTATTGCCAGCGTCCCATTCTAATATAGTTGCCGTCCCCCCCGGGAATAGCATACTTCCGACTAAAGCCACCCTTCCTATCCACCCGCTTAATGTCGTAATCCATCGGCTCATAGAAAACGAAAAATAGAAAAGAAAAAAGGAGAAAGGGAAAAAGGGAAAAGGAAGAAGCTAAAAAACATTCGGCCCCGGGGGGTTCCCGTACTGCCTAGCCTTTATTTTGTCGAGATTTGAGAGCGAGCTGCTCTCAAACGTGTCTGTTAAGCTCATCAGAGCCGGGGGGGAGTTCCCCAAGGTCCGAGCGATGTCCCAATCCCATCGAAGGGGGGATAGGAGATGTAAAGCGCGCATTATTACTTTTCTCAAAAAAATGAAAAGTAAAAAGTAAAAAGTAACAAGTTGATGTTGAGAAAAAGAAGAACAAGCTCATAAGGAAGGAAAAAAGGGAAAAAGGAAAAGAAAAACACGGAAAGAAAGGAAAAAAAAAGGAAGGGGGGGGGAAAGGAAAAAAGAAAAAAAAAGATCTCATTCCTGCGAGGCCAGTCGTCCCATCTTCAGTTGTCCGCTTGTCCAGCCATCTCCTATGCATCTGTGTGTGTGTGTTTGTGTGTGTGTGTGTGTGTGTGTGTGTGTGTGTGTGTGTGTGTGTGTGTGAGAGAGAGAGAGAGAGAGAGAGAGAGAGAGA